AGTAGTAGTAATAGTAGCAGTAGTAGCAGTAGCAGTAGTGGTGGTAGTAGTAGTAGTGGTAGCACTAGTAGTAGTAGTAGTAGTAGTAGTAGTAGTAGTAGTAGTACTAGTAGTAGTAGAAGTAGTAGTAGTAGTAGTAGTATTCTTTTGTAGTAGTGGTAGTAGTAGCAGTAGTAGTAGTAATAATAGTTGTAGTAGTGGTAGTGGTAGTAGTAGTATTAGTACTAGTTCGAACACTCGACAACGCCAATCTCTGTGAAAGGTTGCAAGTTTCACCTCAATGCACATCAAAAGTAATAACTTTACCTCGCGTTCGAACACTCGACAACGCCAATCTGTGTGAAGGGTTGCAAAATTCATCTCAATGCACATCAAAAATTGCAACTTTACCTCGCGTTCGAACACTCGACCACGCCAATCCCTGTGAAGGGTTGCAAAATTCATCTCAATGCACATCAAAAAATGCAACTTTGCTTCGCGTTCGAACACTCGACCACGCCAATCCCTGTGAAGGGTTGCAAAATTCATCTCAATGCACATCAAAAATTGCAACTTTACCTCGCGTTCGAACACTCGACCACGCCAATCCCTGTGAAGGGTTGCAAAATTCATTTCAATGCACATCAAAAAATGCAACTTTACCTAGCGTTCGTGCATTCGACCATGCCAATTCCTGTGAATGGTTGCAAAATGCCAATCCCTGTGAAGGGTTGCAAAATGCAGTTGAGCTGCGCCCAAACCCTGTGAAGGGTTGCGCGGCGCCCGAAAAATGTGTAACTTTACCTCGCGTTTGAACGCCCGAGGAAGCGAATCCCTGTGAAGGGTTCACGGCGCCCGAAAAATGTGTAACTTTACCTCGCGTTTGAACGCCCGAGGAGGCGAATCCCTGTGAAGGGTTGCGCCGGGCGCCTAAAATGTGTAACTTTACCTCGCGTTTGAACGCCCGACAGTTCCAATCCCTGTGAAGGGTTGCGCCGGGCGCCTAAAATGTGTAACTTTACCTCGCGCTTGAACGCCCGAGGAGGCGAATCCCTGTGAAGGGTTGCGCGGGCACCGCAAAATGTGTAACTTTACCTCGCGTTTGAACGCCCGACAGTTCCAATCCCTGTGACAGGTTGCGCCGAGCGCCTAAAATGTGTAAGTTTACCTCGCGTTTGAACGCCCGAGGAGGCGAATCCCTGTGAAGGGTTGCATTCCCGATGGACGCCGACGGTGCCACCCCCGGCTTTAGAAGAGAGGTTTAGATACCGAGATGTAGAGAGTAAGTAAGTAGAGTCAAGTAAGTAAGTCAGTAAGTAGTAAGTAGTAAGTAAGTAAGTAGAAGTAGTAAGTAAGTAAGTAGTAAATAGTAAGTAAGTAAGTCAGAGAGTTAGTAAGTCAGAGAGTAAGTCAGAGAGTAAGTCAGAGAGTAAGTCACAGAGTAAGTCACAGAGTAAGTCACAGAGTAAGTCACAGAGTCATAGAGTAGTCAAGTGAGTAAGTCACAGAGTTCTCAAGTTCATAGAGTCATAGAGTCATAGAGTAGTCAAGAGCAGTCAAGTTCGGTCTAAGAGTCATAGAGTCATAGCGTCCTGACCGGAAGGTCATGTGCTCGATTCTATGTTTGTCATCTATGTACTCATCTGCGGGGCTCCGCACGGAAGAACCCTTCGCGACGCTTTCGGGAATTAAACTTTACATGGATCCCGTCAGTGTACTGCATCGCCGGCATGGCTGATGATACAAGGTCACGTTTGTCATGATGTTTTGTCATGATGTTTTTCTTTTTTTTCATTTTCATCGCAAGCAGGTAGGACTGTGGAGCACCTTTGCGGAAAAAAAAGACCGGCAGCTCGCACTGGCTAGGTTTCTTTTGAACAGTTAGAGAACGGCCCTATCCTGAGATCGCTGTAATACATTGGGGAGAGGAGCGTGCGGCCGTGAAGTGTCTAGCATTATTTTCGTAGTCATTGTTCATGTGGTATCCTGTCTCATGTGGCATCATAAGGCAGCAGTGGCATAACTCATGTTGTACTCCATCGCTTGAAGGGTCTTTGTCTCGCTTCGTGCAGTCGGAGACCACGACCCCGCGCTGAATGGCCTTTGCGATGAAAATGAGAGGAAAAAAAAAGAAAAAACATCATGACAAAACATCATGACAAACATGACCTTGTATCATCAGCCATGCCGGCGATGCAGTACACTCACGGGATCCATGTAATGTTTATTTTGTTCGTGCATCTCGTGCAAACGTGGTGATACGACTCTCGTGCTGCCCTGATTCCATCTCCGGCTATTTTCCTTAGGGGATGCGATATCTGCGTTACGCGTGTCTGCATTCGGGTTCGTGGCCCCTATCAGGTTTTTGACCATGAATTTGCTAATAAAACGCCGAGTCAGGATTTAGGATCTAGGATTGAGGATTTCGGACTTAGGGTTTAGGATTTAGGATCGGGATTTAGGATTTAGGATCAGGGATTTAGGATTTAGGATTCTGAACTACTCCCAGTGCTGGCTACGAAAGGAACCCTAAATTTGGATTTACGATTTCGGATCTAGGATCTAGGACTTAGGATCTAGGATTTGGATTCGAAACTACTCCCGCTGTTGGCTACGCAACGAATCCTGAACGAAGAGTTTTGGATATAGAATTTAGGATCTAGGATTTAGGTAGGATCTAAGATTTAGGGTCTGGGACTCGAATCCTAAGCTCCCAAAACTGGCTACGAAAAGAATCCTAAACGAGAACCAATTGTGCATTAAGGCTCAAATATACATAAGTAGAGAAGGTCTGGGGTTAGGGTCTGGGGTTTAGCATTTAGGATTTAGGATGTAGGGTAGGGGGGTTTAAGTTACCATAGCAAGGAAACCCTATTATTTGCTAGAGATCCGCATCATTGGGTAACTTAAGTTAAACTCCTTAACAAGAGCCCAGCTTCGGTCCGGCTTGGGGTTGCGCCTGTGGTCCTGCATGGCACTATTTGGTTCTCGTCGTAGTTTCAATGCAGTGGCAAATCGAATATCCACCGAATATTTGCTAGCAACTGACAACCACTGCGATCCCGAGACCGGAATTCTGGTGAGGAACCCCGAAGCAGGAACAGCCGGGTCCGTGTGGTGGCAGAACTTGCAAACTGGATTGCGGCACGCTGCACCCTTGGAGACGTAGACGCAGGGCCGCCGGCACAAGAAAGGATGTCCATAACTGCCCGGGTTGTCGAGGTCGTAGTGCAGGCCTGAAGAACCAAATGACATCTGAACAATCAGACTGCCGCTTCACCGGAAAATACCTGCAATGAACCGAAAACAACAACAAAGAAGACAACGAATAGCAACTATAGCGGCTATGATCACCCAACATCAGGCGGCACATTTGGAAAATACCTGCAATGAACCGAAAACAACAACAAAGAAGACAACAAATAGCAACTATAGCGGCTATGATCACCCAACATCATCATGATGCTACTGCTGTTGATGATGACAACTGTATTCAGAATCCGTTGAAATCATCACAACCATTCCTGTACAAAACATGATCATACAAATTGCCGCCATAGCCATGAAAATCAGAAAGCACAGAAATAGTGATACACTTGAAACGACCATACAATACAAACAGGAGTAGTAATGTCATGCTAGTCGCCAGATATTGCAGATATTGTTTGGACGCTTTTTAAGGCAGCCCCATTCTGAAGGAAAATCGCGCTCACGCCACATACTGCAACAGGGGTCTTGGGGATGTCTTGTGGTGGGCATCGTCTTCCTGCCGGAGTCGCGTGTTGAACTCCCGATTCCACTTACCGAAATCGTGCGCCTGCCGCAGTGTTGACAGTGCTGTGCATGTTCTGGGCTGGCAACCGCACTCCGGCCACAGTGGGTGAGCATTTTGGACTCATGCGGCGCGTGCTCTACGTTGGCACAACGCAGCGGCTTGTACAAGATGGCCACAGGCAGCAGGAGTCCATGTTTTGCCGCAGCAGAAAGACACCAAAGACTCCAGGAGTACCAGCTCACAGTGCAGCACCAGCCGCAGCACTACCGTAGTCGCCGACACTGTCGGCGTCGCCACCGTCGGACATAAAGGGGCTTTTTTCTTGTTTCTTGGCACCATTGATAACCTATCGGTTAACCCGCCAGATGGAATTACAAGCATGTTCCGTGTGGAAATTTCATATGGTTGTCACCTGCCAAATAGGAGAAAGAAGAAGCATATGCCATGAATCGAAGAAGCCACTGCAAAGATGCTGTGGAGACTCAGATAAACATACATTACATAAAAATTTTCTGTATATACATATGTATATATATATATGCGTATGTATACATACAGATGAAATTTGAGCATGTAGATAAGATACCTCAGCGAAGGACAGTGGTAGCCGTTGGCTGGGCCTTGCTCCGGGAGGGCATCTCGCTGAGACGCCGTGCCACGTTTGAGGACTTCCTCCATGGAACCAGAAGGATACTCCACCTGAGCGCTGCAGAGGCTATGAGGTTTGGGGTTGAGGAGTTTAGGGCAAGTTGAGGGTTAATGGAATTTCGAAGCGGCTTGCCTAAAAGTCACATGTTTTGATATGGAGTGTCCGTGCTGTGCTGCCTCACGCGGCATGATCTGTGAGTATCTGAAGTCTTGCTTTCTGAAGCCACGGCACTTCAGGAGGCGGGAAGGAGCGAAGGACCGCTTTGAGGTTTGCCATCACCGTGGCACCGCAACGAAACTAAAAATTGCCAGCATACAATTGCGGCTGTTTGCAAAGAGCTAGAGCCGCAGCAGCCGGATGATCACGAATTCAGCGAGTGGGCCAACCAGGCTCAAGGTTGCAATCATACATACATACATCGCCGCTTCATGTGTACATACATACTTACACAGGCAGCCAAAAGGACACACCAAACGCGTCGGAGCTTGCCCTTGCTTGCTGCGTACTGCGTGAACTTTTGAAACACTTCCTCAAAAAGCGAAGACCTATGTCTTCTGACAGCACTCACACAACACTGACTTCAGACAGGTGGAGTTCCTCAGCGCCCATTCGGTGTCTATGAACTGGACCGGACCTCGAAATCTCTTAGGCTCAAGAGCTTCGAGCTTAAGGCTTGGATTCTTCCAGGGGCTAGGCGAAGGGGCGTGGCATGTGTTAAGGTTTGGGCGTTTGTAATTTGAATTGCTTGCTGCTCTTACTCCTGGTTTCCTTGTCTTTCCTTGTCCCACATGAACCTTATGCGAACCGCCATAGGAACCCTGACTAGATTCCTTGGAAAGGAACCCTTTTCAATCCCTAGCGGCCCGCATGGGAACCCTCAAAACCTGGCTATGCCGCCGACTTCGGAAAAATTGGAGCATGTGGAAGCATCAGAATGAACGGGGCCATGGCGTAGAGCCCTTTACTGATAGAGCGATCCTGACGATAAGGAGCCTTGATTGAGCAGGATTAGTCTAGACTGTCTGCTTCAAGGGCCAGATGATTTAAGGTTGAAGGTATAAGGATGCCTCAAAGACGTAAGAAGTGGTTGTAAGTATCCTCACGCGGCCTTATGATTCCAACGAGTTTCCAGTAAACCATTGCCCCAAAACCCTAAACCCTAAACCCAAATCAAAATACCCTGAACCCAAACCACATTACCCTAAAGCCAAAGCCCTCCTGAGCCAGATGAAAGCCCGAAATCCCGATCCGAGCTTCTGGCATGGCACCTCGTACCTCTCGAAGCCACGGCAAGTTAGCATGGAGCAGGAATCAGCACTCCTATGAACCGTGTCATCAACATGCTGCTTCATAATCACTACTGTAGTGGCCGTGTCTATGAGTAAATGTCACGCCTCTTGAAACCTAACCTCCATCACTTCATGAAGTTCCACCACCCCGCACTCAACCCTCAATCCGAAATTCCGGAACCATGGCTCCGGCTCGGCCTTGCTGTGTTGCACGCACCGAAGAGCGTGGCATTGGTGATCAGGCCCAGGCCCAGTTCCTGCGACCAGAGGACAGCCTTGGCCTTGGCCTTGCTGCTGCCGAGTTGCACATCCTGCGTTGGTCTTTGCATCTAGATATGTATATGCACGCATACGTACGCACGGGTATGTACATGTACGTTATAGGTATATGCATATGTGTATGCGTATGTGTGCGCGTATGTGAATGTGTGCCTGTACCTGTACATGTACATGTACATATGTAACTAAGTATGTAACTAAGTATGTATGTATGTGCGAATAAGCAAGTATGAATGTATGTATGCAAATAGAACGCATGCGTGCATGAATGCATGCATGTATGTATGTATGCATGTATGGATGTGCATGTGCATATGCACATGCATATACCCATGCATATATATGTATATATAGTAAATGTGCAGATGCATGCGAGTATACACACACACACCTGCAAACACCTGAAGAAAAACTTATGCCGCACGCATGGGTTCATGCATGCGCGCTTCCCATTTGCATGCATGTTCGTATGCACGGGTGTATGCGTATGCACGTATGCATGTTTGCATGTAGGCATGTAAGCAGGTCTGCATGATGCATGCATGTATACACACACGCATGTATGGCTGGATGGACGGATGGACGGACGGATGGATGGAGGTACATATTTGTTTCGTATACAGGTAGGTGTGCACGTATTTATGTAGCTATGTAGCTATGTATGTATGCATGTGCATATGTATGTATGTATGTATGCAAGCATGCATTCATGCCTGGAACCATCGTATGTATGTATACAATCTTCGGATATATAGATAAAGTAAAAATGCACACAGAGGTGCAGGTGCTATCTTTCTGACTACACTTACGAACTACCTACCTTCCTACCTATCTACCAACCTACCTACCTATCGATTTATCTACCTTTAGAAGTGGCAGATAGAAAGAGGGACAAAATAGCTTGACCAGATAGATGGACCGAACGGGACGGGGAGAGAAAGAGAGAGAGAGAGAGAGAGACACAGGGATGTAGATTTGCACATACGTACGTATGTGTACACATAAACATGCTCACAGATAGTCAGAGAGAGAGAGAGAGAGAAACAGAGAGAGAGGGAGAGAGACGCAAAGGGAGACAGAGAAAACAAAACATCATGGTCCCCCCCGAGGCCTCGTGGATCTCTCGCTCCTCTGCAAAAGTGTCCACCGTAATGACGCAGAACCTCGCCAACAGGGTGCCCATGTCTGCCGCATAAATAGCACATAGCCAGACATGGTATCTACTCCAGTATATAGTGGAATATATAGACTCACTACGCGTGGACATAGGAGACATACCAGTGAAAATGCAAAGCAGGCTTCGTGAGTCAGAACTTGAACAAACTCTCCAAAAACTCTGCAAAGATTCCACACCCTTACACCCCGAACCCCCGAATCGGGATGCTGTTGGGACTAGGCCTGCAGCAAAGCGGAAAGTGCGCAACTCCCAAAGGTTTGGCCTTTTGCATCTGGAGTCCTCGAGCTTTTTGAGGATCGCCAAGAAGACCCTGCTGCAGCTCCCGGTGTCTACAAGCGTCTTGGGGTTTAGGAGTTTAGGAGTTTAGGATGCCTTTGCTGAGATATGATGTAGAGCAACAGGTTTTTTGACACGCGAAACCGTCGGAGTTGAGGCTACTGGGGTTCAACTGAAGATTGCAAATTGTGGATGTACGCATGGCTTGAAGTTTGGTCTGCGTTTCCAAACAATTTCAGATCAGGCACACTCAACCCTATGATTCGTTTGATCGTTCTGCTGCTTAGCAGCTCAGCCAGGCGAAGTGGGGCATTGAAAGTTGATCGTCTTAGGACTTTGAAGAAAAAGGCCTGCAAACAGTAGAATCTCAGTAGAAGACGACTTCCACTCCGGGCGCGAAAAGATCTGAGCCCCAGGCTTCATGACATCCGCCTCGTAAGCTGGGAGTGGCACGTGGACAGGTATTGTTATGGTGGAACACCACGAGGATGTCGAATGGTGCGAGGAAGAAGTCGTGATGGCGACTATCATGGAGATACTGCGGACATTGATGATGACGACGATGATGATGACGATGGTAGTGTCAACTGTTGGGAATGGCGATGAAGCGTGAGAATCGTGGTAACGAAGAGGATTACGGCGACGGATGACAGTGAGGAGGATGCAGAAGAGAAGCAGTGGGAGGAGGAGGAGGAGGAGGAGGAGGAGGAGGTGGCGGGGGCAGAGAAGAAGAAGGAAGCTGACGAGGTAGATGAGGATGACGAAATGCAGGATGACATGCGAATGGAAACGACGATGACGTGACAACGTGATGTTGATGACGATGACAAGTATGAGGATGTTGCTGATGATGCTGATGACGATGACCACTATGATGGCGGTGATGACCTCAATGACGTGGATGGTCGTGGCGACCCCGGTAGTTGATGATGATTTGATGATGATGATGATGATGACGGCAAATGCTGAGGACGGCAGGCAGTGCTCCTGGTGAAGATGCTGATGGCGCTGCAGCTGATAACGGTGGTGATGGTCGTGATGATGGTGGTTGGTGAAGATGATGATGGTGATGATGGAAATGACAGAGATGATATGATAACGATGATGGAGCGGAGGAGAACGAAGTGAGGCAGGAGAAGAAGCATGGTGTTTGCTGGCTAAGTTAATGCGGCGGATGGTAGTGCGAGATGGTTCGCGGTTATGCTGATGCGGTTATACTGATGATTACAATACAGACTGTAATGATGGTCATCGCTGCAGCGTGGCACTGCTCACGACAGGGCAGGGGGCACTGCCGGGGGTAAGGTGACGGTTTTGACCATCATCATGATTAAGCGAATGGCTTGGAAGACATGATGATGAGAATGACGATGATGATACCTAATACCGCTACATAGCTGTAGCCGTGCCAGAGGAACTGTCAGCAGTACTCATCTTTGCACTGCAGCCTCGGGTTTAGCAGTAGCCGTGCAGCTTCATCATGGGCCGCATCGTGAACAGCATGTCACACGCTCTCATTACCGTCTTCATCGCAACGATCATTCAACTTATCATCATCATCACTGCCTTCGTCATCTTCGGAAATACCGTGAGCAGCTACGGTCGCATGCTGGTCCTCTTCTGCACCGTCGCCATTACCATTGGTACCACTCCGCCAGTGCTTCATTATCCACGCTCCCCAACTCAATGACGGGTTTCGTTGTGCCGTTCTGTCAGCTAGCCTTGACTACCACTTTATTACTTTTCGTGTCAGCACCTGTTCTAACTGCAATGTAAGCTATTGCTTCACACCCAAATGGGGGTGATGGCAAGCTTGCCACTTAAGTATCGCAAGCACAGGTGCAGTGCTTGCAGCTGTCACCCACAACATTGATATCGCCATCATTAACGAGAAGTGCCCTGCTGCGCGTGTCACAGTAAGAGTTGCTGGCACCAGTAACAGAGGTAGAAGTGGCCGCATGCAGGTAGCAGTGTGGTAGTAGCGGTGGCAGCAGTAGCAGCAGCTGCAGCAGTGGTCGCAGTGGAATCGCAGCAGTCCGATAGGCGTCGATTTAGTTGTTAGCCGGAGAGGGGGCTGTTTTTGGCCTAGGCCTGCCTACGGCCAAAGGTTTCAAGGGACAGAGCAGCCCAACGAGGCCTGGAACCTATGCAAAGCACTACTCGAGAGTGGCAGTGGCAGTCTTGCTCCATTGCTTGCACCGATCATGCTTCACCGGTCCTGGTGCTTGTGCACATCCGCAACGCTGCTACTCGCAGGCAGGTCAATGCCGAGAGCCTCGGAAGTGAAAGGCTTGGGGGCAGAAACCAGCGGAGCTCCAGCCCGGGAAAGACGCAGACGGATGAAAGCCGCCGACACATACTGCGGTATATGGGATGAGCAAAGCTGCATGGGATCATGGGATACGCAGACAGAACTGGCAAAGCCAGGCCTCCAGAAGGATATTGTATGCTCGCAATGGAAATGACGCCAGCAAGCAGAGCCACAGAAACAATGGCAACAAACAGCAACATTGCAGTAACAAAAGTCAGGCAGTGAGCAAAGGGAGAATGAAAAGAAACTCTCCCAACAAAGCTTGCCAACATGGCAAGCTACTCACCATGTCAAGTATGACCACCCACACATTCGCACAAGAAAGGCAGGAACCAGGTTCATCAGCCGAGCGAAAAGCCTGACCGCAATCCAGGATTTCCAGCCCCAAAACCCAACAAAACAGAGGTTTGGGGGGATATGATAGTATGCTATAGTTACAATAAGGACCATAATAACGGGATACAGCTACTAGATAATGAGACCCCCAGTTGAGAGAGACCACAGAGACCACTTTGGGGTCGGACGAAGATGATGAGATCCCACGGGTGCGCAGTGACGATGCGCTGGACCTGACAGAGGTGCTCTGAGGGCTCTTTTCCTCCTGTTAGTTTGCAAGAATCGGAACCCTTAAAGGAATCCTTAAAGATCCTCTGAAGGAGCGCTTAACGATCCTTTATAGGAGCCCCTCATAGAGCCCTTGTAGAACTTCAGTTTTGGAAGACCTTTCTCCGCGTTTGAAGGGCAGCCACGTACTAAACACCGAGAGTCGCAAAAGCCTGAACTTCACATATTTGAAACTGAGGACACTACCAAAGCCGAGGTTTAGGGTTTAGGCTACCAGGTGAGACTACCGAAACCCCAAGCCGCAAGCCGAAAAGCTCACACTTGCAGCTAGCCTGGACCTATCATGAAAGCGTCTAGCTGCCTCCTTCTCCGTGTACTTCTCCGCCGCTTTGGACTGCACCTTGGGACCCTAAACCCTAAACCCTAAACCGTTCTCTTTCCGGGCCTCAGGTTCTAGGGGAGCATAGAGCCCGAGGGCCTTGAAGCACCGACTCCCTGGAAAACTCACTGCTTTTCAGCAAAGCAGCGGCACCATGGCCGTTTAGCATATGAACTTCTAAGTACACAAAATGCAACATTATGATCCACAACCCCACACTCAGCAGCTCATAAACCCCTACGAAACCTTACAAAGCCGGCAGTGAAGCCGCAAGTTCTGACTAAACCCCAAAATACAAACCCAAAACCCTAGACCCTAAACTCTAAACCCTAAACCCTACACCCGAAACCCTAAACTGGCCCTAAGCCTAAACCCTTACCGAGAACCGAGGATAGGGAGGCCCAAGTCGAGGCGCATTCACTGTGCCCACTCTGCCGGGCGGCGCCTCGCAAGACTTGCGACAGTGCGAAACCACGAGTGCCACGAGTAATAAAGGGGCCTCCATAGTTGGAATTGAGTTTTGGGGTATGTTATAACTAGACCCAAGAGTAGCCTAGGAATAAAAAGGGTGCCCTTTTTGGTTTAAAGGGGCGTATAAGGGAACCTGAACCCCCAAAAAAGGGAATAAGGGCCTACTCTAGGTCCGAGATAATATAGTTACAAGAAGGAAACCCAGAATCGTATTGCCAAATCATTGGGGCCCCTAGCTTAGGGTTTGGGGTTAGGCGTTGTACGGTCGAACCGTTGTGGACCGCAATGCCGCAGTGCTCATAACAGGCGTCAGGATGATTTATATAGTTTATACACAGCGATGCATCTGCGTACCAGAAAACTGACGCTTGTGCGTGTGTGCGTGTGTATCTATATCTGTATCCATCTTTCCACATATACATATACATATACATATACATATACATATACATATACATATACATATACATATACATATACATATACATATACATACACATATACATATACACATACATATACATGTATTATATATATGTATACCGGTAGATAGATAGATAGATAGATAGATAGATAAATAGATAGACAGATATGCGTGTGTATGTGTATACATAATTACCTTAACTATTTATACACACTCACATACGGTACAGTTCAGCTACGTCCTCAAGTGCGCGATACACTAGCCACTGCCGAACTGACACCTTAGCTTGACATTTCGGATTGTTGTTGAGATCGATCTCTGCTTCTTTGTAGCTACTACAACTAGCAGCATTGGCACTGTCTGTTGCCATAGTTGTCGTTGCTGAGTGTTGCGACTAGGTAGAGGTACGCTTCTTGCTGCTATGCTACCCGTCAAGAGCGGCGCTCGGATTCGCACATCTCTAGGTGCTGTCGCAAACATGTGCTGTGGAATGGGGGCTGCATGCCACAACGACGATGGCGCTGCACAAGAAAAACCTCAATCTTTGCACCGAACCCCTAACCCCAGACCGAGAGTGTGATGGCCTGCTGGAGGATATCCTTGCAGTAGCCATAGCTGTCTGAGAACACCAGCACCTCAGACAGGGTACAGAACCAAAAAGGTTTCTGATGATGGGGCTTCAGGATTGGGGTTTAGGAATTTCTGATGATGGTGATGGTATTGGTAATGCTGATGATGGTGAGTCCTGTCATTGCGACAGCTGCACCTTTTAAGACTGCCGTCTCGTGCATGCACCCTTGGGATTTGGAAGGCTAGTCCTAGGTCCTAGGACTACCTAGGTTGCAATGTCGGGACATGAGTCGTGCTCACGATTGATTATGCTAGTCACTAGTCGTTCCTGAGTCGGTGAAGCCTTGGGATGCTTTGCCACAATCAGCACCGAACAGTCACTCGATCTCCTTGAAGCTGATTTCCGGTGACCGCCTCTGAAATCCTTCCCCAAACACCCCCAACATGTTTTACGACACGGAGGCACGGTTTCAAGGGCTCCGCAAACCTCCCGACATCGACTCCACATGCTTGGAGTCGTGACACCAAGTCGATCGGGTTTCGTTGCTGTGGCCGACTCCAAGGTAACGATGTGCGACCATGACACATCACACTCTAGATCGACATAAATGTATACTACATTCAAGTGCGTGTGTATGAATGTATGACATATAGATACACTTACGTTTAACATACACGCAAGTAAATGTATCACCTGCAAACACCATGGGCTCTCTCTGTAGCCCCAAGCATCCTCCGTCTCCACCTGGGACATGTCCGCAGGTGGCCACTTGCCTCCATCCTTGGCACATCGTAGCTGTATCATCTTTCTTTGCGTCGTACTATAGTACGTATGTGCTTTTGCACCTTGTGGCATCGCTCACTTCCGTCTGCTCTGCCGAAACTTTCCATGAGTTGGTGATTCTTTGGATATTGCATAACTTGCAGAATGTGGAGTTTGCCGAGGGCATGTCGAAGAGACGTTTTCCTGATTCCTACAAGGATGCGCGGGCTGTTGCTGGTTGCAGCTGAGCAAGTATGGGCTTCTTTGCAGGCTGTCTCGTGCTTCTCTGTACGATGTGCTTCAATAACTGCTTCAGATTGCTACCACGTCAAGGCCCCACAAGTGCTTGGGTGAAGGACTTTCATTTACAAAAACCCTCCAATCGGCTCCACTCCAAACCGGCGGATCACCTGCCAGTGCACACTAGTTTCTCTCATGCCTGTCGACCCCACGAATGGTTGAAATCGGTGCTCGTTCCCACTCCAACCTTAGATCGCACCTCCTCGAGCCACACAACAACCAGACCCCAAGCAGCCCCAGCAGCCCTATCCGTAAACGCGAAGCTGGCGTAACCCGCGACCAACATGCGCAAAGCCACTCCAACCAAGAATAGCTTGTTTGGGAACCCTTATCATCAGGATCTGCCCTTTAGGGTCTACATTGGGGTCCCCCCCCCATGTCTGAAACTGCCACATCCTCCCCTGAGTCGCACGCGATGCAGCCAAGCGGGTCTCCCATAGCCCTCAGAGGCTTCAGGGCTGCAGCGATCCGTAATCTCTGACCCTACAGCCTACACCCTAATTCAACGAGTATAATCCTCAACACCCCATACCCTGCACCAAAAATAAGCAAACCATTATAGTAGAAGCCAGAAAGTTGGAACATCAGTATCCTCATGGCCTTAAGGTAAAGTATACAGGATCCTAGCACTAATCCTCCTGAAGCCACGTTCCAACTTTCTGGCTTTTGCTATAAGCCATCGTAACCCTCAACCTGACATCCATTGAGCTTCGAGCTCCTCCACCTCTGCCTGGCACACTGTCTTCGCACCGATTTTCAACCGCGAGCTCGTCATGGTTCGCGGCATCCCGCACAACCCCCCCCCCTCAAAAAGAATAAAAAATCCTCAACCCTTGTCCCTAAACCCGACACCCCTTAATCCCAAACCCTAAACTCTTGCTTGACCTTGAACCCCGAACAATTTAACCAGACGCTGAACTTGACATCCCCACCTTTGAGGCCCCGGCTGCAGACGAAAGTAAATGCTGTTGCCCGCAGCATTCTCTGTGCAGAGCGGCTCTGGCATCCATTCCACAGGCCAGCATCTCAATTGGGTCAGGATAGGGCTTTAGCGTTCTAAGGCAGGGCTTGTCGGATTCAGAGTTTAAGAGACGATGCTCTAGGTGTGCATGATGTTAGGTTGAACTTCGGGCCAATCGGGTGGGCAGGAAAGGCTTCTCTTTTCCATGCACCTCGGTAGGTCTACATGCCCCGGTGCATCCACCCTCCGCGCAAGCCGCTATTGCAGAAGCCAAGATACTCCGAAGAGCCTTGCCCTTTCCCACCCCAAGTGCCCGAAGCCCAAAGCCCAAACCCTCAACCCCGAACCCGAAACCTTAAAGCCAACCAACCTACTGAGGGCACTTGAGGACACAACCCTAAAGCCTAACCCAAGCTCGAGGGCTGACGCTCAAAAACCCAAACCCAAAATCCTTGAGGCTGATGCGTGTTGCCGGCATGTTCCTCGATTTTCTTCTCCATGAGCCTTAAGTTGGGACTACTATGAGGGCTCCCAGTATACAAGGGCATACTATTACTGGAAGGAGGTACTATGAGGCGAGTACTATACGTGGGGGTACTACAGGGGAGTACTCTAAGGATTCCTATGAGGTTTACTATCTCGTCCATGCTCTTTCGATGTGAGATTCCGGTCCTGAGTTTAGGACCAAGCAAGCATTCCCTGTCCAAGACTTCCTGACTGATTCGAGTTACATCGCATTGGCGCGGGGACTCCTGGTGAGGCCCAAGAGTTCCTGTTCTGACGATCAGGGAGTCACGATCAGCACGCCTGGGCATTTGGCGGCTGACTTAATTACCTATGGGTGGTTGTCAGAATTGGGATCCCTTTCTGGGTGCCCTAAATAACAGGTGCCGTATTATAATAATGAGCCAAAAAAGGCCCTAATTCTGACAACTACCCATATGCAAGACTCAGACTCAGCCTGCCTTCCGAAGCGATTTCGACGCACACTGAAATCGCCACCAGTGATGCTCTCGTGCTCTTACCCAGGCACTGGCACTCGACTCCCACTGCTCATGCCGCGCTGAACTACGGCAAGCCCATTCAAAGAGAGAACGCCACCCCACAAAAAGGCGGCATAAGCTCCCAGAGGGCCCTTGTGATAGCAACCCTTGTGGCAACCCTCACGTGCTTGGGCAAGGGCTGCTTGTACTGCGCGATCATGACGTTCCCGGCTTGCGGCCCAAGCATGGTCAGCGCATCCCGGGCCTGAATGAGGGGCACGGTCTATATACATATATATATATATATGTATAGATAGATATAGATATAGATATAGATATAGATATAGATATAGATATAGATATAGATATAGATATAGATACAGATGTAGATGTAGATATAGATATAGATATAGATATAGATATAGATATAGATATAGATATAGACATAGATATAGATATAGATATAGATATATATACATTATCGTATATTATGAAACATTGTTATATATTGAAATATACTGTTATATTATCACATATGACTATATTGCATCTTATTATGTTATACTATCTTAGATGATCGTGAACAAGAAGATATGTTTTCTCGAGCTGGCGGAACCCAAACCCTCAGCGCCCCACCGTCATCGCTCCGGGCCTCCTCCGGGGCGTCTGCCCCGGTGGTCGGCGGGCGCTGCAACTACGCGGCTGGAAGCCGAGCAATCGAGCAAAAGACTTACCCTTGGTTAGCAGGGAATGGAAGAATGGTAATGATAGTAGTTATAATTGTAGCCCATTCCTCCATTCCCTACTAACCAAAGGTAAGAAGAAGGGAAATGCCAGAGTCTGAGGGCTCGAAGAGTCGCTATTCCAGGTCTTTGGGGCCCAATTCCCGATCATGGCGTACAGGACATCGGGGCAGCACGAGCCCGGCACATCTACGACCGGAAAGGCCTCAGAAAAGGCCGAACTTAATCCTGTGCAGCTTGAAACCCCATGTAATTTCCTTCCAACTGCTCCAAGAGTCGAAGAAGTATATGTTATATATATATATATATATTATATTGCATATTTTTATTCTAGTATAGATTATATATTCTATTATAGGTCATATACTCTATTTACATATTCTATTGTAGATTATATTTTCTATTGTAGATTAGATATTATAAACTGTATATTATCACTGAGCATGGGCTCCGCGGACGGGCACGTTTTCTGCAGCGCCGGACGAGCGTCGGTTGTCGCGAAGGCAGCTTTTATGCCAGCAAACTAAATCCGCAGAGGCCAGATCTGGAGAAGTACAGCTGAAGCGAAGCTCCAGCCAGGAATACTGTATAATAATTGTATAGTATAGTGTGTGTATGTATAGATATAACATAATATATAAATATGTGTAACATATTTTGCATACTATGAGAAGTGCCATCATCAAACTATTACGCACACGTTTCTGTGAACCTTGCAGGGCTTTCGCGAGGATGTTGGCATTCGAGGAATATCCTCGCTAGTCTCAATCTTGCACTGGATAGACTCACATAGACCTTGCGGTATTCGTACTGCAACTCGTCAATGGAATAACGACTCTTCTGCCTCCTCCGTTCTGCTGTTACACTTCCCAACATCTCAGGTTGAAGACCAAGCTTTCCTTGCTCTTACTTCTGTTCAACTTCAACACCGGCTTGAGCTTAGGTTTCAGGTCGGATGTTTCAGGGCCGAGCCACTCAACTGCACACCAACTCAAACGCAATTCAAACGTCCATGTCCCAAGCATACAGAGTAGCCTGAACTGGCACATCCTCATGTATGCGCATATACACATCGAGCCGTAGTATGGAAGCGGTGAGCTCTTGCAATCAGACGTTGGCCTGCCGTTGCGGATGCTTCTACGCGGCTCTGATTATGAGGGCCTGCAAAGGAGGCCGATGAAAAGATCGAAACATATTTGACAGAAGGCGTTCAGGTCCAGCTCCCTGAATCACATCAACCTCTGAACAGTAAATTCTGATCCCTAAATCCCAAACCCTAGACAATGTACCCCAAGTCCCAAGACCCTAAAACCTCAACCCTAGCCCCCCACTGCAAAGGCGAAGATGTGGGCAGGACACTTGCCGGGAGCCGCTCACTCCAGGACGATCTTGGCGAAGGTTGGGGTTCAGGGCTTGCAGTTGGAAGATTTTGGGTTTAAGAGCTTGAGGAACTTAGTGCTTACGGGTTTCATCGATGTCAGATTGCTTCGCATGCTGTCACACCACGTAATCGTGGCACTTCTGCTTCTTCATTGCATGCACGGATGGACAGATGGACGGACGGACGGATGGATGCATGGATCCCACGCCTCGCCACCCACGGCTGCCACCTTCTCTTTGAGCGCCTCATCTTCTGATTCTTTGGATTTTAACAAATGGGACTCTACTTCATCCTAAGAGCATGATGAAGCAATGTGGAAGTCATTGAGTTCAGCGGAATCCACGTAAGACGCACTTCATCGAATGGAATGTGCCAGAGCAGCAGGCATGACCGACGCGTGATGATCAAAACTGCAGACCTACATCTGCACATCAGCTTGAGGGCCAGAGAGCACAACAGAGGAGGTCGAGCCTTTTGGACTGAAGCTCCGAAAACCTCGAGCCCCTTCCTTCGCTTCGAGAGTATGCCCTTGCACCTCCGCCTCTGCTGCTGGGACTCCCTTCTTGAGCTGGCAAGCATAGCAGGCTTGAAAGTAGGTGTTCATGGTTCTCTTGCGTTTGGGCTCTTGGGTTTCATCATTGTCGGGTTGTGAAGACTTGCAGGTCCTGCGCTGCCAAACCAGCACGGCTGTGCATGACCACTCTCGCGACGGAATTGTTCCCTACGCACTACAAGGACGGTTGTGTTCTTAATCCTGCAGATGCCGTACGACATTCCTTCCCCCCATCGGTTCATCTTGTGATCGAACAAGCCTAGAGTCCCAAACACATCGCAAACCTTCCTGTCAAATCCAACGCTTCAGCATGGAAGGGTTTGAGGGAACCTAGGCAGTTCCCGCAATGTCGCATAGAGAAGCTGACATGCTGTCTCCTCATCTCAAACCTAAACCATGCAAGCGCACACGCTAAACCAGCAATCGCAAGCCTTCCGCAGCGAAACCAAAACCTGTCGTCCAATTGTGAAGCTCTGCAAAAGCAAAGTGTGCCGGTGTGGCCACTTTAGGAACTGATTCCACGAGCTCCTGTCGCGAAACGGAAGCAGGATCCCAGCGCATCAGATGAACAAGGCAATGAACGCGCAGCTTTTGAAGACATGCACTATCTAAAAGACTTTCTGCTTCAATCTACGGTAGCCAGTGTTTCAGCTACGCTGTGTTCGGGGGCTTTAGAGCCCACACCACCTTCCTTCGAATCGATGTTATTGCGTGGTGCATGCAAAAGCCCAACAACCTAAACCCACCAACACCCTAAACCCTAAACCCTAAAGCCTAAACCCTAAACCCTAAACCCTAAACCCCGAAGACCCCAAGCTCTGAAACCAACTCCAAAGCCCCCAAACACTTACCTCTGCCCAACAACTCCAGACTCTAAATCCGTGCAGACAGAATGGGAGTTTCCGAAAATAGGGGACCCTAATATAGTACCCCAAATAGTATGATCCTTATTATAAGGACCCCAAAGTAAGGGACCCCTAATTTTCGGAAACTCCCAAATCGAGACCCTAAGCTCAACTTCCAACCCCAGCCGGCGACTGAAAACCCGCCGTCGCCTTGGATTCCTTAAGACCTGCGCCGGTGATCGCCCTGACCTCTAGGCAAAGGTATAATGTAGGGGCCTTCGTAATTAGAATAGGCTTTTGGGGCGCGCATTATACTATAATAAGGAACCCCCACAATTGCATAGGAATATGTGCTTTCGGTGTTTGATGGGCGACAACGGTACTCTTTCTTCAGGCTCTTCTACTACAAGTGAAGCACCTCAGAGCGAACGAAGATGAACTAAGGAAACGGGAACTGTCAATGAGAGACGTCATCTAAGTAACTACACCCTAGACGTCTTCCCCACGGTGCTCTGAAAAGAAGGATATCAGACCTACCTTGCGACCTGCTGGTTTCTTGTCTGGGCTTCATATGCTGAGGGTATCGTAAGATGGGGCGGAGACTTTGCAGAACCCTGGACCCCAAACCCCGGAAAGACAACCAACCCTGCTTTAAAATCCGAAGCTTTCAGCCTTAACCCTTCTGACATGAATCCAAAAGAACTCCGCAAGCTTCCAAGCCCCTGTCCGAAGCACAGGACCCCAAGCAGATACGGCGAAGCCAGAGAGAGCTTCGCCGGAGTGGCCCGCTGTCGGATTCTGCTTTAACTCTCTGCAACCTCCTGTGGCTACGCCATGTCATGATTCTACATAAGATGATCATGCGCAGTGCGGTGTCATATCAGAAACAGAATCTTCAACATAGGCTGGGAAGAGCTTCGCATTCCTGTGCACCGGTATGCAGTGCATACATCCAGACGTGCTCTGAACATGTTCTTCTACCTTTCCTGTGTGGGACCCTCTTTTGCTGCACCCACGACTCAAGACTGTGTTCAAACCTTGTACAGGTGCCCCCGCCTCCTTGACGACATTGATCTTTTTCGCTGTGTCGAAGCTCACCTTCAGAGAAGGTCGTACTGACGTCGGTCGAGAGGACACCCGGGGCCGAAATGACCACTGATTTCTGCACTGCCCTTTAGGTGCATGACCATCCGTCATTCCGCGTCCCCATCCTCATCATCGCCCCCACCACCCTCATCCTGATTATCACATCCATCCTCATGCTCATCATCATCCACGTTTATCATCGTCCTTCGTCGCCATCATCGCCACCATCAACGTGTTCTCTTGTTTCAAGCCATCACCACCAGCATCCTCTTTCTCGTCAGAAGCTAACGATGAGTAGCTGAGTAGCTGCATAATCGACATTGTCAACATCGCATTTTGAATATCTTGATCGCAATCCTAATGCTCGCCGTGCTGCTCTCTGCTCCGCAACATAAACATCCAACCGGATACTGGCACCGTCAACAGAACACTCATCTTCTTCTGTTCGACCCACAAGCCCTGGGTGGTGGGCTCTGCACCCAAACTCTACTGCACCTCTCCTCTTTGACAGCCCCAAAGTCTAGCTTCGACAGCGTGGTTTCTGACTTAACATGGCAGAGAGGTCAGAAATGCTGATGATGAAGCAAAAACTGACAACGGCAACAGTGTCTACCAAGGGAGCAATACCAAAACAGGAAAGGCTGATCAAGCTTCCTTCGTAAACTAATCTCTTTTGCATCAACAAGCACACCTAATGCGGTTGGAAGCTTGCAGACTAGGTTTACTGGGAAGGAGCCTCTACAATCACTGTCTCATCAATATTTGATGCTCACACTGACCAGGACAGGAAGTCTCTCAGGAAAGTTCACACAAGCCTTAGGTCGCACTCAAAAGGAAAAGGCAGCTAGTTGTTGGATGGCTCCCGTCAAAAACCCTGAAGGCGCCCGACAGCAGAAGTAAAGCCAGATTTAGGAGCAATCTGAGCCAAATTCACGACTGCACCCTCATCGGTATATATACATATATATGTACATATTTACGCTCTAGAAATTCGAATCCCTGTCTCAGCCGCTGGGAGCGGTGCCAGCTTCACTGTGTAGGTCTCCTTTTTCTTCTCTTCTTTCTTTGCCTGCGAGTGGCTGCGAACTGAGGGGTGGTTGCCAAGGCTCAGGTAGACCTTGAGCCCCAAAGAAAACCATACACTTGCCAAACGCTTGAAACCCCGACGGGCCTCAGCCCTTACAAGGTGCGGACACCGAAATCTGGCAAGGGCAGGCTAATTCTGTGGCACTCGGCCGTAGCTTGTTGCTTCATCACTCTGACTAGTGCTTCTCGTTACTGCAAGTATCGACACCACTTATACCATCATGGTTGGCATTGTTGTGCTGTTGCCGCGCATGTCATGGCACTTGTCTCAACGTAAGTTTCCGCCTCTGCAACTCTGAATCCGGCGAGCCCCTTGCAACGGCTATTGTGGGAAATTACATCGCTGTGTGATCAGCCCGTGCTGTTCATGGATCTTGCTTCTCCCTGTCGTCAGTACTGCTTCGAATACGCCTTTTCTAGCGAGTGGGCATCTTTGCTCACTCAACAATACTGCTCTTGCTCCTCTTACCATCACTTTGCATTACTATTGTTCTCACTGTTCGAAGTGTGAAGTCTTGCTGTGACGGCTATAGTTACCATTGCTAATACTGCTACTCTTGCTATTGCGGCTCCTGTTCGTGCTGCTATGCAACTTCTAGCATTATGCTGGTCATTGCTGCTATCTGCACTTCAGTACGATAGTGATATACAGTGATCGTGGTAGTTGTCGTCGTCTGGTTACTACTACTACTACTACTACTACTACTACTACTACTACTACTACTACTACTACTACTACTACTACTACTACTACTACGACTCCAGCTCCAGCTCCTGCTACTGCTCCTGCTACTGCTCCTGCTTCTGCTCCTGCTCCAGCTCCTCTACTACTGCTGCTACTGCTACTGTTGCTACTGCTATTGCTGCTGCGAGTGTTGATGAAGACGCTAATGGATGCTATTGCTACAGCTACTGCCTCTGCTAGTCTGCTATTAACAACAGCGGCAGCAGAGGCGGCAACAGCAGCTGCAATTGTGGTGCTAGCTGTTGTGGCAGTGGCAGTATGCTGGTGTCCTTACCGCGATGCTGCTGATGTTACCACTATCCTGACTATGAACTCTACTAGTTATCTCGTTTTCACTATCGGCATGTATCACCACACATTCCCAGCCTTGGGCGCTTCCTCCGCAGCCTGAAGTGATGCGGCACTGCATTGCGATTTAAGCACTGGCTGATCGGCTTGGAGGTGATGCAAGGGTTGCACAGCTTTGGGAGAATGCAGTCACATTGCAGCTTGCATCTGTGGCCCCGGATGAACGCACAACTTCGACTATACATTGCTCATCAAACTTATAGATCCTGTAAACCCGATGCTTGGACAATTGACTTCCATTGCTGACCTCATTGCCTGACCCTAAACTTAAACCGTAGGCGCCAAACCCGGCAACCCTGAACCCAAAAACCCTAATGATTTCGCTCCAATTGGGCCCCTGCGGGCTCAGCCGCGTCGGCTGGTGCGGCAGCAGGTGCTGCTGCTGGGGCCGCCTGCTCGCACAGAAAAGGTGGAACAGTAAACCGTAGCACAATAAGACAACAATCTCGTGCGTGTTTTTCTATGCTTACATGTACGTTCGCTGTTTCACACTTGCCTAGTAGCATGCGCACGCCTCAATGTGTTCTCCGCACCCAACCCACTATACTCAGGCCCCTTGTAAGCCCGACTGCCCTGGATATAATACCTCTCTCACTCTGAATACACAGTCTAAATTCCCACATTCTATTGCAAGATCAATACTGACTATGCTTTACAATCCCAAACCTCGCACATACCGGATTGTTCAAGAACTGGTTGTTATTTGGCCGCAGAAACTACAGCATTGCTCGGAAACTATCATATCTCTAGGCTGTTGTAATCATCACCGGACTAGAGCCTTGCAAAACACGCAGTATACCTGTATAGCATCCACAAGCACTGGCTAATCGGGTCGATGAGAAGAGGACAACCCTTGCTTTGCAACTTCAGATCCACAACGGCAAGCTTTCGAAAGCAGTACACGTGACCCTAAGCCCCTAAGCCCTAAACCCAAACCCAACTAAATCTTAATTCCTGAACCCCAAACCACAAGAGAACCCAAAAGGAAGGAACCCTACCAAACACCTGGCCTGGGGCATGGCCTGCGGCATACCGGCTGGCATGGCGGGCATGCCACCCATGGGCATCGCCTGGGACCGACTCTGAGTTGGCTTTGGGGTTTAGGTTTTGGGGTGTTCAGCTCGGGTTTAGGAGCTTATGGCCTAGTAGTCCAAGGCTTTGGTTGTAGGCTTCATGCTGTCAGGAACGCTTAGACATTGTGCCATCGATGGACACTAAAAGGTGGTACTGTCTACAGAGGTATTGTAGAGTATCAAGATATGCTGATTCTCCGCTGTTGCTTCCGGTCTTCACGCCATGCTGCCTTCCAAGATGTGCGAAAAGTGCGAGCAAGAGAGAGAGAGAGAGAGAGAGAGAGAGAGAGAGAGAGAGAGAGAGAGAGAGAGAGAGAGAATCGTCCATTCCTACCCAGATGACCAACAAGTATTTGCTCAGACAACTGGCGATGTTCGACAACCAAAGCATCAGCGACAGCAGTTGAAACGGGATCTTCCCAGGAGAGCAAAATGCGATCCTGTCTCTAGCAATGTGCTCTCGAGAAGCCTACCCCGAAGCCTCAAGATTCTGCGGCTATAAAGTGCAAACGCTTCTATGCGCGTGCATATATGAAATTAAACTGTGCTTACATATTTCTGTTTAGTTATTTATTTCTGTTTCTGGTTAGTTAGTAATTTACCTACCTATATATCCATTTATCTTATCGAACCATCTATATACCCATCTATTTATCACGTCTGTAATTACATAAGCTACATATATAGACGCAGAAAATGGCATGGTAGACTACCGCGGCGTAGTACAAACATATGATCTGGTATGATTGTACAACCTATGCAATCGCATGTAGATACTGTGCACAGCGCACCATGAGCCTGTCTCGGGCATGCGTCGGGGGGCGTCGGAAGTCTCGGGCCTAGGGGATGGTGGTTGAAGTGACGAAGCCCGAATCCGCACAGCTTAGGCTGTCAGATGTCAAGCCGGAGCAAAGATACTCAGTTGGCTAAAGAACATCTCGAAGTGCTGAGGGTACTGCAGCGCTGGTCTTTCTGCTGTCGATGTTGGAAGAACTGCTGCTGCTGGCTTCATTCTGACCTACTTGTTGTCACCGCTTCTTGTTTAAGTGAAGAGCCAGGTAGATCAAGCCTCCATATGTATGTGGCAAGTGCATACCTGAATCATATGCATGTTTATGTGCAAGCGCATAGGTGTACATACGCTGTGTATACATGTATGTATGCATCTATATATATATATATATCTGTATATATGTACAGATATACATATGCAGTTTTAAATGTGAGTGTGTTTACACGGGTATATATGTACAGGTATGTGTGTGTGTGTGCGGGCCTGCGGGCATATACATATATGTGTGTATACATATACATATACATACATATATATATATACATATACATATACATATATATATACATATATATATATATACATATATACATATATATATATATATATATTTACATACGTACGTGAACATGTATACGCATATCCGACACGCCTACTACACACGTAAGACAAACATACGTACACATACGCACGTACATATACGCATACATACATGCGCTCAAATATACATATGCACAGACACATACGCATGCACATATACACACACAATACACACATACACCCGTACACCCCTACACGCGCAAACACACACACACACACAGACATACACACATACGCACGTGCACACATACATACGTGCATGTATGTATACATACATACATACCTACATAAGTACATACATGCGTACGCACGTACGTACATACTTATACTACATACATACATACATACATACATACATATATACACACACATGCACGTGTACATCTCTTCGTAACATAACTTTATCTTCGTTTTCGACAATCGCATGGGTGCGGGCCGAGGGGCACCCCCGACCACTCCTTGGAACATCCCCACCGGATGCGGGAACCTTGCGTCTGCGATGGCTGGGGATTCCGGGGTTCCGGGCTTTGCCGGCTCTTGAGTTGGGGTGTACGGATTACGGTCGGGTCCAGTGTTATGAATCATGGCCGTTGGAGCAGTACAGGCGAGTCTACCCAAAGCGTCTTGTCTGGAATCACGTCAAAGCCTTCGACCAGCTCTGCTGCTTTTGCTGCCAATGAAAAGAACTTCTCTGACACGAGGGCTTGAAAAGTTGAACAGTGTTTCGGCGTTTCGGGGTATGCCTGACGAAATATTCGGAGCCCTGTATCAGGCATGCAAGCGGCGGTAGCCGAGGCAAGCCGTCAGCTGGCTGCAACTTCTCCTGCGTTGATCGAATCTTGGGGTGACTTGGGAGGAGTTTGACAGACCGGGGTTGCGGGATTGTTGAGGAAGGTGGAGGAGCACTTAACTTCGGGCTGTGGTACTTCGTCGGCAAGACACTCTGCGAGCGTGTCCGTTCTGATTACTGTCTTCACCACCGCTCAAAAGCAACATTGCTGGAAAAAGAACGCTGCAATCCAGACAGCAAGCCATACCTGGTGCCAACCATGCTGTTGCCCTGACATCATGTGACAAAACGATCGCTCGGACTCTTCTTACATTTCCCCCTAAACCAGAAACCCTACATCTCAAACCCTTAAGCCTAAACCTCAGGAACTCCTGAATCGACTACACGCCCAGCCTGGCACAAATCGCACAGGTCTGCTGCCTCTGCGGCAGGCAGGGGCTTCAATCCATGAATCATTTTAGTTTAGGGTTAAGGGCCGGGCTTGGGGATCATTACAGGAGACTTCGAAAACAGTGAATAATGTCACGGTTCTTGGTGTCGGCGGTTCAGATCACAACATATGAATATGGATCTGGAGACAAACTTGCACAGGCGTCGAAGGCATATGAGGCTGCGAGATGACACCCTGCAGTTTGATCGGTTTTCGGTAGATGGCAAACAGGGGAAGTGCCGCAGGGAGGGTAGCAGCCTTGGGCATCACATCCGGTTTCTGGCCTTCCACTCCGTGGGCCGAGCTGTCGCGAAAGATAGGTACGGGATCGGTCGAGACTTCTCGGTGAACTAGCGACTTGAGCACATGAGCACGAGGAGACATGACTATGATCAGCGATGCCTCCACCAGAGTCAAGGAAACGATCTCATCCACCAGCCTCAACACCTCCAGGGGGTGGATTTGCAGGGAAGAGCTGTGTTTGTGATGTTGCAGCTCAGGCTCAGGATGCTTTTCGATGCCCGACACTTTTGTTCATCAATGCACCGTTCCTAGCACTACAAGGCTCTCGTGTCAGCAACCTCGACCCCGGCCCCCGTCCCTGCCCACTTTTTTTCGCGCGATGCAAGCCAAGGATAGCGCATCCTCATGCTGCATAGCCTCCGCGTTTCTCACTGCTTTGAGGCTCCAAGATCTCGGAGAGATACCTCGTGCTCTCCTGTGCAGTGGTACCCATGGCAGCACTCCCTGAACCTCCACACTCCGACTGAGCCTGAGATCCTATTCTGTCTAAGCTCCCTTGGGTTTACATAGCTATACTGAACTTAGAACCCTAGCAAAAAATATAATTTTAGCTGCTTCTTAGGAATTGTAATAACCAAAAATTGTAAATTAATTCTAAGTACCCCTAAGACATAAGGTCTCCAGAGTTCGCTTCCGTCGCTCTCGAATGGACGGCTAGCTCTGCCAAAGCAGAACATGACCTTCAGACGCAGATGCTCGAACAGTTTTGGATCTTCGTGAAGGCGGCTGAAACCCTCTTTGTCGAGTCTCTCGGCTACCACCAGATCGGAGTCCTTCTGCACGGCAAGCAACATCGCCGGATCCACGTCGGGTATGTTCCTGGGAAGCCGATGCACAGGAGGCTTCCATGCCTCTTAGCTCAGATGCACTAGCAGTAGCAGGTACAGCCGAATTACGAGAGTGGGATTCAAGCTGTAATGTTGGATATGCATTCCTGGGAGACTTCTTCTTGCTTGGCCCCAAGTTCACTGAGCCCTCTGTGGCAGCAATGCTTGGCAGAAGGGACTCTTGGCAGGCCGGGTCGCACCCAAACCCCAAACTACAATGCCCTGAGCAGCTCGCTCGAAGGAGGCAATACAGCAATAGCCTTAACCAAACAAAAGGCGGTTGATACAGTATGCCCCCGAACCCTATGCTGATGAAACTCATCCTTCAGGTGCCTGTACCCGACAGCTCTTTCAGCAGGCTTCACCGAAGAAAGTAAACGTAAAACAACAGCGGTGTCCTCCTAGGACAACACCCAGCCTTGACAGAAAGTCATTAAACCTAATCGCCCTGCAAAAACATCGCAGCACTCACAGTGAAACTTCCAAGGTAAAGCAAGCAGAGGAATGCAAGACAATGCAGTGCTAAATCACGTTCGGCTGTGAGATTTTGGCGTCTCGGGTCCTTATTATCCTTGTCTTGGGCCTGGGACCCTTATCATAATGGATTGTCGCTTCTCGGCTCCGTCTCCTAAGCACCATTAAGGACCGAGGCACAAGCTCAGGAAGACGAGGAGACCGAAGCGCTTCGAGAGCTTTTGCCCCAAGTTGCTACCGGGACCATCTACCTGCTTTGGGGTTTGGCGCTTGGGAAGCCTCGATGGTAGGATTCTCGGTCGTAACTTGCTGGCTGTTCAACTCGCACAGGCTACCCGGCTACCACCCAAAGCATTGATTCTCAGTGCTTGCAGCGGGCAACTTCGCTCTCTCTGCCTCTGAGCACCTCTTGGGACCTAATTCCGCCTGCCTCTGAGGGCCTCCAGGGCTGGCCAGAGGGATGCTTAAGGGCTTTATGCAGGCTTCTTGGGTCGTCCCAGGATACTGAGAAATACCCGTGTCTTCGAAAGACTCAGGGCATCTCAGGGCGTTCGCGACTACACACACGGCGGTGGCTGCCATCGTTATCGTGGTCATCAGAACCTTCGAAACACACAATCCCTGATCATCATCGCGATCGTCATCAGCAGCGTCATCCTCATGCTCGTCGTTCTCGTCATCATCGGCATCAGCGGCACCATCACTTTCTCGGGCGGATCATCGCTGTGGTAGTGGTCGTGACTTGGTTAAACTTGGTTTCCAGTACGAACATTCTTCTTGCGACTGTACCCGACATCTGCTCTGCACTGCTGCTGCTGCTGTTGCTGCTACGATGCCGCCGGCGGCATCAAATGCTTTCAATGACATCCAAATCCTCAACATTCTCAATCTTCTCCTTCCCTTCCGACACCTTCCAGTCTAAATCCCTCCGCTCACGAAACACCTCGCCTCACCCCGGAGAGAAGCGACGCAGGGCTGCGGGTCAAAGCGTGTTGGCGTGGCCACATGGAGGTCCTCTCAGGTGGACGAGTTCGGCCCATGACATATAATATAATATAACACAATACAGTGTGTGTGTATATATATATAGTTATTCTTGTTTATTTAGTTTGTGTAATATCATAGAATATGTGAACAATACTATACAAGATAAGAACTTTCGAAGAGCTACAGTAAACGACATGAAGCCCATAAGTACACTGACACAAACACTGATAACACGTGTGAACCCTGAACCCTTAACCCTTAACCGTAAACTCCTAAGTATAGTGCTCGGGACCAACGAATTAAGCTCGGCGCTGAGCCGATGGTTGCAAGCAGAAGCCGAGAGCACCCTCATCCCTGAGACCGCCGTCCATATGGCCCGAATCAGATATAGATTAACGGGGTCTGTGGTATAGTATGTTATGATTACAATCGGAATCCTCGGGGAGAGTAGTGGGAGTTGGCCAGGCTTCTATGATAAACTGTTACGGCGAGGACAATTACCCTCTGTCCCTCCCCGTCTCGACCTGAAGCAAAACTTCCTACAGTGGGACCTCCAACCCTTGGCCGCCAATCCTCGGGCCGTCGGAGAGAAAGAAGGTGGCTTTCAGAGTTTGGGTGGGTTTAGGGTTTAGGGTTTATATAAGGTTTAGGGTTTAGGGTATAGGGTTTGAGTATGATGGTGATGGCACTGCACATACAACTGCTGTTGTTCTTATCACTCTCGCCTCAGAACTGCCAGTATTCTCCTTCTCTCGGTGCATGTATTGTTCAACGCTGCCGTTCTTGCTTCGGCCGGCCGCTCTGACGAACTACTTGCTATCTGGGAGTTTCCAAAATTTAGGGGTACCTTATTTGCGGGTCCTTATAACAAGGATCCTACTATTTAGGGTACTATATTGGGGTCTCCTATTTTCGGAAACTGCCATCTTTATCAGCAGGCGAAGAGGGGAAGGAACTGAACTCTGGTCAACGATAGGTTGAAGCGAGGAGCCAGAAGAACACTGAGCCTTCCAGCAGGGTGACGTGGAAATGAAGCGGCTGCCCGGCGCAAAGCATGCCTAGGCGCAACCCGAGGCGCTGAGGAAGCGGAAGATGTAGGAATATACGATCAGACACAAAAACATACAGAAATATACAACAATATTATACCATAGTTTACTAAAATCAGCACTAGTATTCTATTCTGAATAATCTGTGGCGACCTCATCGGATCCCTCCCTGGCATGAGTCCCGAATATCTAGCAGAGCTGTTGTGATCAGCCACTGGTCTTGAAGATCTTCGGCAGCTGCCGCTCTACCCCGCCGCCTTCAGGCGTCGCCATGCTGCCGAGATCTCTGCTTTGCTGAAGCTTTGGGGTTTGATTGCTTGGTGATTTGAGCATCTCCTAAAGACGAAGGCTTGGCGAGTGGACTAGTCGATGCAACAGCTCAGGGCTTGTGGCTGTCGTAGGCTATTGAAGTGGATGCACCGCACAATTTACATATCTGTGCAAGGGCTCGGCGAACCCTGTGTTGAGCCGTCAGGTGCTTCAGATATGCGGCGAAAGTCACAGAGCATCTGAGACCCTGAATCCCAAGTCCTAAACTGTAAACTCCAACCCTCACATGGTCCAGAAGCCCGAAGCCCCAAAATGTAGGAACAAAGGCATTTGGGGCATTTTAACAAGGACCTTACGGGGATGTGAGCCTGCAAGCTGCTCAGACCCCCTATACGACATCTCCTAATAGCCAGGGCATCCAGGCCTTGTCAGAAGGCTTCCGTCGGGCTTTGGGCTTCTCCTCACCCTCCTGCAATTAAGATTTAGAGTTTGCACGTTTAGGTTCAACAAGTTTCAGAGGCTGACGTGTAGTGAACCTCAGGAGGCAAGGCTTCGTCGCAGGTGAACTGGCAGAACCTCGGAATGCCTTCATAAACCGCACCCAAACTGTCAAAGCTACCTATTCTCCAGAGCCCTTCCTAAGCGCAAGTCCTCTGGAGGGTCTTTCAACTTCTGGAAGACATCGAACTTGGACGCGGGGTGCCCCTGACATGGCAGAGTTTAGAGCTTTTGATGACCCCGACAGAATCCTGCATTAGCTCCGTTTTCCAAGGGGATGAAGTGGCGTGCAGATAGCTGAAAGAAGTCGTGTACCTTTCTGCCCATGACGACGACTTGTGCGATTACCCCTGCTATGGCTCCTGCTACTGCCGCTCTCCTGCTACTGCTACTGCTCCTGCTGCTCCTGGTGCTACTGCTGCCGCTACTGTTGCCACTATTTCTCCTTAGCATTCCTCTCTTTAGCAGTGCGCTGCAATGTATAAAGATAGTCGTTGCGGTCCATCGCCCCTCACGGCCGGAGATATACACTCCCAAGCCCACACCGCTACGACTCGCAAAAAGCATGCTTCACGTTTAAGGAACAGGATCTCACGGATTTGGTGCAATACAGGGGCATTAATGACTTCAATGGGGCTTTGAGGTATGGTAGAGTATACTATAGCACAGTTACATAGACGCTATATATACCACGATACTACGATTACGAATTACTCCGATCCCTAGATTATCCCGGGTTTGGGGCTTGGCCCCTTGTTCCGAGGCTACGGCCGAACTCCCCCGGCGAGGGACCTGAGATGCAGGGGTTTCACCCACCGCTGACAGCCTCTGGCGCTTTGCGCAGTATTATTAAGACTTAACTAAACTCTAAAGTACTCAGCAATGACACGGGAATTAACTGCATGAAGAGAACTCTTCGACTAAGGTTCACCATGACAACATGAATAGGCTCCCGATGGCATGAATGTAAGCAGTGTTTGAGCTTATCATCCGCCGCCAAACGATCATCAGGGCACTCGATCCAGGTTCCAGCAAGAATGTCAAAAGCAGCGACAGAAGTAGAAAGAAACGACCTATCCTCCGAGCGCCTGGCTCGCAGACACGCCGCTTGGGGCAGAGACCGCCGCAGCAGTAAGGCCACGTGACGGCCCCGCATGGCCCCTCGCGAGGAAAGCTTGAGGGCTCGGTGTTGGGGGTTCACGGTCAAGTGCGGACGGAGGGAGGACAGACCACCATGAAGCTTGCAGGAACGTGCGCACACTTGTGTACTGCAGACAGACAAAGCGCTGGGACTGTTGCACATCCGACCCTTCCACTTCACCAAGCATCTGCTCACACTGCTGACCTCCCTCGCCTCCGGGCCAGTGGGCGAAGGGAGGATGGCAGCCCCCCTCCCTCCGCTGTAAACATTGCGGTTCGAAGAGTGCTGTTGTCGCAGCAGGATGTAAGCTTCAGCAGCAACACGAGTGGCCAAAATCCTGGGAGATTGATCGCATCAAAACCACGGGAAGCCAAACCCCCCGTTCAAACAGATCTAAACACTGAGCACTCAACGCGAGGCTGCTTCTGTTGACATCAAAAATCAAGAAGCTCCCCAATGCCATGGCCATCAACGCCCCTAACGTCTTTAAGCCTTGAAGCAACAAGGGAAAACCCGTTCGCATCACCACTGACGACCAACCATCATTGCAGCAATGCAGCGGCATGACAGAGAAAAGCAATAATGTAGCATGAGTCAGCACAGAAGCTTGAAAGGCGGTCGCTCTGCTGAAACTGGAGGATGTCGTCATAAAATCTATGTGCCGCTTCGTCACACAAGGAGAACATTCACGGAGACATATGAATAGAAAAGCTTCCCACTACATCCAGTCTGTGCTGCGTCGTCCCATACAGCAAAGGGGCCACGCAACCTACGATAGTACTAGTCAGTACTCCTTTCTGAGAAGCAGGAGCTTGTTTCGGCTAGCCAATCTGCGGGCTTTCGCCGGAAGATGGCAGCACGAGCCGTTGACGGTGTTCTGGGCTTTTTGTTGAACAACCTAATTGTTCCTCCAGCCTATGGGGCGTCTGACCGAGATGAAGCTGAATCGCTTGTACTGGCAATAGTTATAATGTACTTTTAGTAGTAAAAGTAGTACTAGTAATAATGGTAATAGTAGAATTAAAAATAACCAATAGTAGTTATACTGTTATACTTATAATGCAATGCCAGTAATGGTAGCAATAATGGTATAATAGGAAGATTAGGAATAATCGCAATAACAGTAATACTAGTATTCACTACTTAGTAGTAGTAACAGAATACAAAGGTAATACAGGTTGTACTGGTAATGACAGGCTTGGAATCGGAGATCCCGCTGTCAACGGGACCGTGCCCTGATCCTACAGGCTCTTGCCCGAGCCCAGCCCACTTATGGAGTTCACATCCTATAGCTAAGAAGTGTAATCCACAAGAAGTCACCGGCCACATGCTATCGATCTCAACTGGCCCATTCTGGGTTGCACTGACATCGCCGGGACTCCCGGATAGCATCGACTCCGAAAGGAATGTAGGGGCTTCCATGCCAAGGACCCGAAAGCCGGATGATCTCAATGTTCGGAGACATGGTTTCTCTCTCTCCCTTGGGGCAGGAGGACTAAGCCCCCCAAGGTTTGGGATATAGGTTGGGTCTAGAGCCACAGTCCGAAGTTTGAAACTCGCCCTAACACATGGAAGGAGTTCCGACGATTTGCTGGTGACGGACAGTCTTCTGATCAAGCCAGCCGGGGACTTTCTAAAACAGCAAACCTGAAGGTACACGCTTAAGCCTTCTCTGAGCCCCAAGTTGTTACGCTCTGAGGATACTTGGAACTCCTGAGTATGGAGGAGAGGAACAATCTCCGGTGTTGCTGACTGATGTTTTTGTCTGATTCCGTGTCGCGGTCGTCAGGTCAGCAAGGTGCATGTGCTTAGGTTTCACTTTTCAGTCTAGCTTCGATCCGTTGTGGTTCCATTGCCGAGAAAGTGCCAATCAATATGGCCACTGACGACGGACATGACGTCGATTTTGCAGAGAAGATGATGGTGATGATGAGGAGGAGGATGAGGATGATGACGATATGGCGAGAATAATACTAACAATAATAATAGAACAATGACGACGATGACGACGATGATGATGACGGTGATCATGGTGATGACGCTGATGGTGATGATGATGATGATGATGATGATGACAATGGCGATAGTGATAATGATGATGGTGATGACGATGACGATGACGATGATTGCGGTGGTGGCGATGGTGCTGGTGATGACGATCATGATGGCAGTGGTTGTGGTGGTGGTAGCGGTGGTGGTGGTCGGCGGTGGTGGTCGTGGCGGCGGTGGCGGTGTACGTCTTGCTCGGTCGTCGCGGTGGGGCTGGTAAGGCCGCTTTCTGAAGCCTCGACCCTGATCCGCGCCATTCAGCGCGTGAATGCACTAGCACTTCAGATCTCGACGGTTTGAGGTGACTTGGGAAGCATGAAGACACAGGCCTAGTCTTTAGGATGTTCCCCTTGGCCAGCTAGGCTGCTGCCCGAGGACCACAGCTGCTGCCCAAACAGCATCAAGCTGTCCGGATGTAGACAAACAGGCGCTGCTCCCGCTTATCGAATTTTGGGGAGGCACGATAGCTGCAGCACGAGGGGCCGGATGCATACATACAGACATTACATTGTTGCACAACAAAAACATAAACATAAGCGTAAGCATGGACATAAACATGATGAAAACACAAACGTCAAATCAAAACACATCACATCACACTACATACACACACATGCATACACACACATGCATACACACACATGCATACATACGCACATACGCACATACGTACATATGCACATACATACATACATACATACATACATTACGTATCAACATGCCTGCCTATCCTGCCTTATCCTACCTTCTACCGATGGGTTTAAACGGCTCACGGCGGCCCTTACTGCAAGCATGCCATCCACCGTAAGACCCATGCCGAGTGCTGCCTAACTCACCGAACCTGGAACATCAACAACTTCCTAAAATACACGAAACCTTGAAAACCCTAAGCCCTACAACCCCGAAGCCCAAAGCCCTACTCGATTCCCAAAATTCCTCAAAAGCTTCTTGCGGGACCCGGATCTGACCCCCGGCGCGCAGCCTGCAGTTCTCGAGAACCTAACTACGGCTCTCCCGGAGATCCTTTAAACGATCGGGCGTCATCATCTGGACTCCCACACATCTCGACGCATTTAGGGGCTTCAAGAGGGGCTTCAAGACGGGCTCCCTGGAGCTCCCGAGTTCAATCTTAGGGGCCTGATTTTTTTGTTTTTGAGCTCCTTTTCTCCAGTGCCCCGAAAGGTCTGAGAGGCCAGGGCGTTGAAGTTTAGGGTCTAGGGTTTAGGATCTGGTTCTGGGGTATGTTGCACTATGGCGATAGTAACAGACTCTCAAACCAGTATTGATACTGTATGATACTTATTTAGGTCCTGATATTAGGGTGCTTCTTGTTGACAAACTCCTTTTTCTGTAGCTGCTTTCGAAGAACATGATTGGAACAAAGTTCAACACAAGAACTTTTCGTCACGAGGCTCCTTTTCTGATGGAAATCGAACAAGGCCCCTACCTTCTCTCTTCTTCAACAACCGGGCCTCAAAAAGTTCAAACTTACTAAGATGGAGCATATATGTATATATAAGGCCAAAAAGTTGAAAGTTCCCCCGCTCACTATCCAAGACCTTTTTGACTTTCCTTGGGAGGCGTCGGAGCCCAGTCCATGACACAGTGCTTCGCGTCCGGCATCGCGGACCGCTGAGCTGTGGTAGACGGAGTCAGTCGAAAACGCGGCGGACGCAAGCACAAGGTTCCTGACTTGAGGCTACAAGTAGTGGAACCCGTCACCACGATGCCCAAAGACTAGGCAAGGGGATTTGCGCTTATGAAAATGAAGGCAATCGTTCCCACATCGCTTAAAGATGGGGTCAAGGGCTCGGGCTCAGAAGAAGCTAACTGCCCTCCCGCAGGCCCTGAACTGCAAACCACTCTGCTCGCCCCTGTCACTAAAAACCCCAAAGTAAGCCCTACAACAACCTTAACCTAATCTCCAAACCTCTGAACTCTTTACACTTTTACTATACCCCGAACCTGCCTTAAATAAAGCCCTTTCAATCCACTCATCGACTGCATCCCCGCACTGAGCGGAAGCCTCTTAGCTCTGCACTGGAGCCTTGAAAATGTCGCTCCCCTTTTGGTACAAGATCTCGAGATAATATGGTGTAGAGTTCTTGTTTACGCTATGGGATGGTTTTTGATCGGTTCTGATCGGTTCTCTTGACAATTAGCATCTTTCTCAATACCTACTTGGGTTTAGGGGTTGGGAGAACCTAGGCCCCCAACGGTAACCTCGTCAAATCTGAGAGAGCCCTGGAGCTTCCAGAGCAGACAAAGGACGAGGCATAAAAACTGACAGGCAGAGACCTCAAAAGACAGAACTCAATGAACGACAGTCTGAGCCCAAACCTGCGGCTCAGCCGACTTAGAAAGTAGGCTTCTGAGGGTTCGCGCGACCTATCACCCCAACCAAACTCTGCTTACAACGTCCCTGCATCGCCGAAGCAATGACGCATCAACCGAATTCTGGACTTGGACAAAGCTTTTCGAATGCCTGTTTCGTTCATCTTGCTATGCCAGTAATACCGGGTTGTTGGATTTTGGGGGGTATACGGTATACTATGACCATCACAAAGAACCCTACAGAACAGCGTCCCTTACTACTTGTTCCGACTCCTTGGGGGCCTTTATAATTACCCCTTCCAGTTCCTTATCATAATTTTAGTATAATCGGCCCCAAAACCCTGTTCTAACTTGAGAAACTATTGAGGCCCCTATATCACCATCTTCAAGGCTACAGCGCATCTGTACAAAGCCACTGTGCGGCTATCACAAAATTGGATGCCCGCGGCCGGCACCTCAGAACAAGCAGCTGGGTTTGAGTCTGGCTCCCTTTCAAGGGGTCTATAGGGGCTACTATCAGGGTACGTACTATAAGGGCTTTCTCAGGGATTTACAGGAGGATTCTGTAATACAAGGGCCTCGATACATGGAATAGGGTGTTGGTGGGTGTATTATACTATAACCATGATAAG